CCTCTGAACATGAAATACAAATTTTTGTCTCTGAGGTAGTAGCTGGTATTTGTCCACTTTGTGCTCCTCTCACATATCGTACGTACCTGGTGCACCATTAGGGACTGGACCTGCCTCTTGAGGACCTGCATGCGGGCTGTGGTGACCACCGAGCGCACATCGGGCACCACGATCTCACTGAGGATGTCGCTGATGAGCCGGTGGTTCCTCTGGAAGCGAGCGGCTGCTGTGTGCTTCACTGAAAATCCATCGTCGTAGTCTGGACCACGGAAAAGGACGACGATCAACAGTCCGCCCGACGGAGCAGCTAAACGTACCGTCACAACTCCTCCATGTTTGAACGGCCAGCAGTTAAAACAACAACCAGCAAACAAAGGCCAGAGGAGCACCGAGGAGCACCGGCTGCTCGAGGCTCACTTAAGGAAAGAGAAACTGAGCAGTGGGCTTCCAGCTCCACGTCTCCTCGTGAAGGCACAACCATTAACCAGCCTCAATAGGTTGACTTCACTACTCACCATCGGGGTCCTCGGCGGGCTGAATGCTCATGTACGGCTCCCCTTTGTCCATGCGGCTCTGCCTCTGCCGGCTCTCCTCCTCCATGGCAGCCTCGGCCCGGTTCTTAGCGTTGACGTAGGCCAGGTAGGCCGGTGAGTTGTGGTAGGCCTTCAGAGAATCGTTGTACTCGATCTGACAGGCGGGAGGCAGGAAAGGAAGGATCAGGACCACCTCTCCGGTGTGTTGCTGCTTTATTGTTCATGTGAAATACTTGGTCAGGTAAAGAGGCCGGTGGCCACACAGGAACAACTAGGGCAGCCTGAGTGGACCTTTAGAGACGGAGACCTTAAATAACGGTTGTTCGCCCTCAGCACTGATCAATGTCAACTAGTCACAATCAGCTGGTGACCTACAGCCTAAAACAAACGTGTCTATCCAGTTTCCCCTGAAGGGAAAATAAATAATGGCATTTGCGAGTTTGAGAAGCAATTTTGACTTTTCAGATGGGACACAATCTGCTGAGACCACAGACGTGAGTCCCCCCCCCTCACCTTCTCAGCTTCGTACTCGTTCAGGTAGTCTTGTTTCTCCTCATCCGTCAGGTCTCTCCACATCCCTCCGATAATCTTTCCGATCTCCCACAGCTTCAGGTCCGGGTTGGAGGCCTTCACCTGGTCCCATACCTTGTGTTTGCACACAGAAACAACATGAGGTCACAAGGGGGGAACTGCAGCAAATGGCAAGTGGGGCTCCTATAAGAGTGCAGAGAGCAGGAAGACGTCGTTGTCTATGGACACAGTGATTGGCTGGTATGGGCGGAGCGACATGTACATCATCACTAGAGGAGCAGCAGAGCAGCATGCACAGGGGGTGAAGGCGCAGCAGGTCATGCTTGCAGCTTCTCTTTATCCTTGACAGAAATGGGGAGGTGCTGTAAGCCAGCGGTAAAACAGAGCGGCCGCTGGGTGCCTGAGGTGGGGGGGGGGGGGGGGGGGGGCGTCATGGCTTGGCTGTTTCCCCCCCAGAAACCCCCTGCAACTGTTCAGGGGACGGGAGGACAAGCAGTAAAAGCAGACACCGTGGATGGGTGTCTTACCTTCCTGCTTACCTTCCGGCTGTACCGCATGTAAGGCATCAGGGGCTTGTCTGGAGGTTTGGGGGGCTTTGGGACGGTGATGCCGGAGGAGTTCTGTGGGGGGGAGAGAAAGAGCGTTCAGTGTTCACACAGGAGAGGAAGATAAAGCAGCTGATGCTCTGCTGCAGACGGGACTGGATGCTTAGTGACGTCCTACAGGGGACACATGCAGCACACAGACTCGTGGCTGCCAGACGTCCCTTGAAGGGCAAGTTAAGACAATTAACAATTACAAATCCGAAATCTACATTTAGGAGTTTGCCGAGTAGCAGAATGCCGTTTTTGAGCGACGGCGATGAAGCAAATCAGAGCGTCCAGAAGGAGGAACGTGAGGTCCTGTCCCATACAAACACGATGATGCACCAAGTATTCATGCGGCTGTAGAACACGATAACAGGGCGTCAGAAGTGATGCTCCATGGGAGCCCCTTTGCATAAAAACATTGACCTGTAGATTTACAACAGGTTCATGGTGGTGATGAACAACTGCAGCAGCTCTTTGTGTGAAGGTTCTACAGCGACGGCTCGTTGACATGAAGAACCACCGCTGAGTTGCTATTCTGCTCCGCTTACTTACAGCTGTTTCTGCACTGAAGAAGGTCCCATCGAATGATTTACTTGCTTGTTTGGTGAAGCAGACTTAAACATATTCACTGAAAAGTCTGAATTACTGTAAAAAGTATTGATTTATATGTTAAAATGTTATTTTTCTTTTAGGAGGATGACAAAGGCCCAGCTGATTGGTCCAGAGACTGGCTGTAGACCGGAGGTCCACACGTGCCCTGCAGCGTGTGATGCCATACGGTGGCCCCCCCTCCCTTTATCCCATGATCTGAGTTACCCTGCTGGAGCCTCCGGAGCTCCCTCCCAGCCGCAGGTTGTTGTAGGCCAGATGGCTGTACGGGTTGTAGCCCACAAACCCGGGGGTGGAAGGCAATTGCTGATGGAAGACAAATGAGACAAAATACGAATGAGAAATGGTTTACAAACAAGAGGAAGAGGGATAAACATAAACAAGTAAGAGGGGAAAAGGGGACTCGTTTGCGTTCCCTGACTTCACGCCGGCCTCACGAGGTGAATGTTGATGGACGAGTTACATCAACGTCAAACACTTCTGCCAAAACGAAAAGCATCACGTCTTTCTACATACATGTGCTAAACTGTAATATTCACACCCATTAATGCCGTATATGACAAATCATAAGCAATTCATAAACGTGTGTGCGGCATATAAACATTCTGCCCAAAACCATAAGTGAGTGGTATGATCGTAGAAAGCAGAAGTGAGTGATGACGGAGCTCTTCCACCGCGAGAGGAACCATGAAAGCAATAAATAAATATATAGGAGGACAGTGGCCACTAAGCTGGAAGAGCGAGACCAGGACACTTACTGTTGTTGGGGCGGGGGGAGGAGGGGGGGCGTAGGATGGTCGTTCTGAGGGAGAGAAACACACGTCAGTAGGCTGCTTTGGTGCATTTAACGGCCATAGTTTATATACTTTTACAGCAGAGACGCTGAGAACAGGAAGGAGACTCATCCATTGAGTCAGTGTCCACAGCCCGTCTGGGTCAGAACCATCGCCTGTATACAGGAAGTGGACCAGTGGACGGCCTTGAACAGTAGTCGCCATAGTGATGACGGCTACCTGTCAATCACTATTGGACTCTACAGGACCATCATTTACTGAAAGAACATTCTCATGTCATAACGGGTCCAGGTGAAGTCTGGTAACGTTTAGTTTGGTGAGAAATCAAGTAGTTTGTATATAAAAGTCTAAATGAACTGACAGTAGCAAAGCAGTTTATTATAAGTAAAACTATTAATGCGAATAAGAGGTTCTCTTAATTCACAATGGTTTGATTAAAATAATCCCTGGATGCCAACAAGAAAGAAACAGGATACATTTGATGAACAGTTATCGATTCATACCGGAAATCAGTACCGTTGTTCAGGGCATCTCCAAAATATAAGATATGATAACGATCTTTATTCTAGTCTCATCCAGACACAATGCGAACAGGGACGTCAGTCAGGAGGCCTGATGGCTTCACGTCACTCACTTGACATGGTGGCTGGAGGCGGGTTCAAGCACACGAGGCGATCTCCATCCGGTCAACCTGCAGGAGAACAGACGTCAGTCACACACCTGAAGTACAGGTTCTACTGACGCGTAGCTCGCTAAACACCGCAGCACGAGGACGCCGGTACATGATGTGAAGTTAACGGGTACCGACGATAGCGGGGAAGGACAGCGGCAGCGCGAACGCGGTCTCCCGCCGCCGGGCCTCGCAAAGAGCCCGTTTATCCACCAATGGACCCACGTGTAATCAAAGTAATGTCATGTAGTTAATACGCAGAAACGACTCAAAGGCGGCACGCGCACGGTTGACGCGACAGAAGCTTCACGCCTTTCTATAGCTCGTTAGCTTAGCTTCACGGCTAGGCTAACGAGCTAGGCTAACGAACAATACAAACCGGCTCCCATTAACGTTACATCGCGGAGCGCCGCTAGTCACGGCAGCACGGTTCGTCTCCGCCGACCTCCTTCTCACGCGCGCCGCCCGAAACCCATCAAATGTGACGTTTCTCAAGTAATTCTGTTTTAACGGGGTGGACATACTGAGCGAAGCGTCCTTTGTTCCCTCCGCGGGCCGCTTGTTCCGCCTCACGCAAACGGAAGTCTCTTTTTCTGTTGAGCGGAAATGATATTTTCAGAATAAACGCGTTACTTAAAAGGCTGTATAGTTGCGATAAAACAGACCAATAAAATAAAACCATCTTCTGGAATTAGCCATAGCCCAAATTCAGCTATTTTTGGGGGGAACAAAGCTTGATTTTTTGACAGTTGTGTCATCAATAACTAATCCAGCCAGTTATGTTGTGTAAATACTGATAGTACTACTGTGTACTACTACTATAGTACTAGAGTGATAGGAGTAAAACAAGAAGTCTGTAGTTTGCAGCAAGATGGGAACCACTTTATTTGATTCACACAATCAGACCGTCACTTTCTGTTTTGGTCCTTGACAATAAAAGTTTCACTGTAATGTGTGTTTTACTGGCCTCAGACTCAGGGCCCTGCTCCACACACATGGACCTCCACATACAGACTCAGGGCCCTGCTCCACACACACATGGACCTCCACATACAGACTCAGGGCCCTGCTCCACACACATGGACCTCCACATACAGACTCAGGGCCCTGCTCCACACACACATGGACCTCCACATACAGACTCAGGGCCCTGCTCCACACACACATGGACCTCCACATACAGACTCAGGGCCCTGCTCCACACACATGGACCTCCACATACAGACTCAGGGCCCTGCTCCACACACATGGACCTCCACATACAGACTCAGGGCCCTGCTCCACACACACATGGACCTCCACATACAGACTCAGGGCCCTGCTCCACACACATGGACCTCCACATACAGACTCAGGGCCCTGCTCCACACACATGGACCTCCACATACAGACTCAGGGCCCTGCTCCACACACATGGACCTCCACGTACAGACTCAGGGCCCTGCTCCACACACACATGGACCTCCACGTACAGACTCAGGGCCCTGCTCCACACACACATGGACCTCCACGTACAGACTCAGGGCCCTGCTCCACACACATGGACCTCACATACAGACTCAGGGCCCTGCTCCACACACATGGACCTCCACATACAGACTCAGGCCCTGCTCCACACACATGGACCTCCACGTACAGACTCAGGGCCCTGCTCCACACACATGGACCTCCACATACAGACTCAGGGCCCTGCTCCACACACATGGACCTCCACATACAGACTCAGGGCCCTGCTCCACACACACATGGACCTCCACATACAGACTCAGGGGCCCTGCTCCACACACACATGGACCTCCACGTACAGACTCAGGGCCCTGCTCCACACACATGGACCTCCACGTACAGACTCAGGGCCCTGCTCCACACACATGGACCTCCACATACAGACTCAGGGGCCCTGCTCCACACACATGGACCTCCACATACAGACTCAGGGCCCTGCTCCACACAAATGGACCTCCACATACAGACTCAGGGCCCTGCTCCACACACATGGACCTCCACATACAGACTCAGGGGCCCTGCTCCACACACATGGACCTCCACATACACTCAGGGCCCTGCTCCACACACATGGACCTCCACATACAGACTCAGGGGCCCTGCTCCACACCACATGGACCTACGTACAGACTCAGGGCCCTGCTCCACACACATGGACCTCCACGTACAGACTCAGGGGCCCTGCTCCACACACATGGACCTCCACATACAGACTCAGGGCCCTGCTCCACACACATGGACCTCCACATACAGACTCAGGGGCCCTGCTCCACACACACATGGACCTCCACGTACAGACTCAGGGCCCTGCTCCACACACATGGACCTCCACGTACAGACTCAGGGGCCCTGCTCCACACACACATGGACCTCCACGTACAGACTCAGGGGCCCTGCTCCACACACACATGGACCTCCACGTACAGACTCAGGGGCCCTGCTCCACACACACATGGACCTCCACATACAGACTCAGGGCCCTGCTCCACACACACATGGACCTCCACATACAGACTCAGGGGCCCTGCTCCACACACACATGGACCTCCACATACAGACTCAGGGGCCCTGCTCCACACACACATGGACCTCCACGTACAGACTCCACACACACATGGAGCTCTACGTACAGACTCAGGGGCCCTGCTCCACACACACATGGACCTCCACATACAGACTCAGGCGTTTTCCAGTTGTCCTCCCAGCCACTGGACCTCAGTCGGTTATTTTACTCTTTCATTTCACTTCTTATTTCTCCAGTTAATTATTTCCATAGCATTTTCGCCATCTCTTCCAGTAAGCGTCTGGCTTAAGATGCTGTTTACATAGTTTGTATTTATTGTCTCTCTGGCCTTCACGACTGGCAGGGGCCTCTCAGTAAGTCAGTATCTATGGGATTCACCAACTCACCTGCAACGTCTCACAATAGAGGTGGTGCTAAGCTGCCATGGCAAGTGTGTTTGATGTTCAGTACCAGTGGTGTCCAAACCTTTGACTGCTACTATAAACGCGTTGTGGAGGACTTTTCCCAGCGTGCATCCCTTCTGCACCACCTGACATGTAAAGGGCGCGTTTCCAATGCACCCAGGAATGTAATGAGGTCTTTGACAACAGGGTTGTTATCAGATGCCCCGATGGTCACTATGTCGGACATTCCCTTTATAATGTATTCAGAGGCCTCCATGGAAGTAGTGTGGCCGTGTCGGCTCAAGATAAGGAAGGACCAGAGCCATTGGTGGGTGTGTAAACTAGTCGCTCACTGCTACCCAAAGGCGCTGGCCCACGTTTGACAGAACTGTGGCTATAGTGTGGGCCACACGCCAATTCAGCCTTTACATCCGAGTGGCCACCTTCACCGTCATAACGGATTACAAGCATGTCTGTTGACATGGAAAGAGCACGTGGATATCGGGGCTGGATCCTTTCAACTGGGTCATCGAACACAAGGAGGGAAGGAGCGATGGGACGCTGATGCTGATTCTATCCCATCGCGTCTTCCAAATAAGAACATGAGAACATGAATGAAGTATTTTTGTATTGAAAATAATTTTGATTAACTTCTTGAATTGTTTTGAATACAATATTTATTTTCATTCTTCACATACTTATTTTTTATATTTGAGGTTTTATATTTTTCAGTTGGAGATTTTATAATTTTATATTCAGATTCCTTTTTTAAAATGATTGTATTTTTTTACTTTCAGTCTCTTGGCCCTGGTCCGGATCAGGCGGCGTGGCATTAAGTAAGAGGGGCGTGTAATCATGACTTTTTGACTGCGTTGCCTTCAGGAAACGTACGTACCACGTAGTAACACATAGTTACCACAAAGTTACCACATTACCACGATAGTTACCACGTAGTTAGTACAATAGTTACCACGTAGTTACATGACCACGTAGTTACCACAATAGTTACCACGTAGTTACATTACCCCGATAGTTACCACATAGTCACCACATAGTTACCACATTACCACGATAGTTACCACATAGTTACATTAACACGATTAATACGATAGTTACCACATAGTTACATTACCACGATGGTTACAATAGTTACCACGCACGTCTCAGCGACCAACAGGCCCCAGGTCAGTCCTTTGACCATCCCTAGTGCCCGTCTGTTGCCTCCACCAGCGAACTCGAGAACAATGGTTCCTACAGGTATTTATAACAATGCTTAAAGGTGTGAAAGTCAGTGTCCACACCTCTGGGAGTCTTCTGGTGAGTTCAATGTAACTCGGATTTCGAATGATCCTTAGTCGATATCAGTTGTGCAAGTATTACATGTATGCATTCCAGTTGATTACATTACATCAAATACAATCATAACTGCATTGGTATTATTCTATTACAGTTGCAGAATTACAGTGGTTTTACAATATTGTCATTAATTTATTGATTACAGTTTCAGAATCATGGCTGTATTCTGGTGTACACTATATGCATTTTTATTAATTTTATGAACCGGGTCGTATATTTGTTTTCTAATATCCTACAATAGTCACCACGTAGTTACCACATTAACACCATAGTACGTTACCACGTAGTTACGATAGTTACCACGATACGTACCACGTACGTACATTACCACGATAGTTATCACGATAGTTACCACAATAGTTACCACGATAGTTACCACAATAGTTACCACGTAGTTACATTACCACGATAGTTACCACAATAGTTACCACAGTTACCAAGTAGTTACCACAGTACCACAATAGTTACGATAGTTACCACGTAGTTACCACGATAGTTATCACGATAGTTACCACAATAGTTACCACAGTACCACGATAGGTACGATAGTCACCACGTAGTTACCACATAGTGACCACAGTTACCACGTAGTTACGATAGTTACCACGTAGTTACCACATTACCACGATGGTTACCACGTAGTTACCACGATAGTTACCACAGTACCACGATAGGTACGATAGTCACCACGTAGTTACCACATAGTGACCACAGTTACCACGTAGTTACCACATTACCACGATGGTTACCACGTAGTTACCATGATAGTTACCACGTAGTTACCACGATAGTTACAATAGTTACCACGTAGTTACATTACCACAATAGATACGATAGTTACCATGTAGTTACCACATTACCACGATAGTTACCACGTAGTTACGATTGTTATCACGTAGTTACCTCGTATTACCACATAGTTACCACGTAGTTGCCACATTACCATGATAGTTACGCTAGTTACCACGCAGTTACCACGATAGTTACGACGTAGTCACCACATTACCACGATGGTTACCACGATAGTTACCACGTAGTTACCACGATAGTTACAATAGTTACCACGTAGTTACATTACCACAATAGTTACGCTAGTTACCACGCAGTTACCACGATAGTTACGACGTAGTCACCACATTGCCACGATGGTTACCACGATAGTTACCACGTAGTTACCACGATAGTTACAATAGTTACCACGTAGTTACATTACCACAATAGTTACGCTAGTTACCACGCAGTTACCACGATAGTTACGACGTAGTCACCACATTACCACGATGCTTACCACGATAGTTACCACGTAGTTACCACGATAGTTACAATAGTTACCACGTAGTTACATTACCACAATAGTTACGATAGTTACCATGTAGTTACCACATTACCACGATAGTTACCACGTAGTTACGATTGTTATCACGTAGTTACCTCGTATTACCACATAGTTACCACGTAGTTGCCACATTACCATGATAGTTACGCTAGTTACCACGCAGTTACCACGATAGTTACGACGTAGTCACCACATTACCACGATGGTTACCACGTAGTTACTACGGTAGTTACCATGTAGTTACCACATTACCACGATAGTTACCACGCAGTTACCACGATCGTTACCACGATAGTTACCACGTAGTTACATTACCACGATAGTTACGATAGTCACCACGTAGTTACCACATAGTCACCAGTTACCACGTAGTTACCACATTACCACGATAGTTACCACGTAGTTACCACATTACCACGATAGTTACCACGTAGTTACGATTGTTACTATGTAGTTACGTCGTATTACCACATAGTTACCACGTAGTTACCACATTACCACGATAGTTAAGCTAGTTACCACGCAGTTACCACGATAGTTACCACGATAGTTACCACGATAGTTACCATGTAGTTACCACGATAGTTACAATAGTTACCACGTAGTTACATTACCACAATAGTTACGATAGTTACCACGTAGTTACCACATTACCACGATAGTTACGACTAGTTACCACGATTGTTACCACCTAGTTACCACATGGTTACCACGTAGTTACCACATTACCACGATAGTTACAATAGTTACCACGATAGTTACAATAGTTACCACGATAGTTAACACGTAGTTACCACGTAGTTACGATAGTTTACCACGTAGCTACGATAGTTACTACGATAGTTACCACATAGTTACATTACCCACGATAGTTACCACAATGGTTACCACATAGTTACCACAGGTTACCCACGTAGGTTACATTACCACGATAGTTACCACGTAGTTACGATAGTTACCACCGATAGTTTACCATGTAGTTTTCACGATAGTTATCCCGATAGGTACCACGGTGTTAACATGATAGTTATCCCGGATAGTTACCATGTAGTTCCATTACCACGATAGTTATCACGATAGTTACCACGTAAGTTAACCCGGATAGGTTATCACGAATAGTTACCACGGAGGTTTCCTTTCCCACGATAGTTATCAACGATAGTTACCACGTAGTTACATTACCACGATAGTTACGATAGTCACCACGTAGTTACCACGATAGTTGCGACGTAGTTACCACGTAGTTACCACATTACCACGATAGTTACGATAGTCACCACGTAGTTACCACGATAGTTGCGACGTAGTTACCACGTAGTTACCACATTACCACGATAGTTACGATAGTTACCACGATAGTTACCACGTACTTACCACATTACAACGATAGTTACGATAGTTACCACATAGTTACCACGATACATACAATACAGAATCACAAGACTAATTGTAACATGGAAGATACCTGGGTGTGAAAGTTTATTGTTGACCTTTTGAAAATGAAAAAAAGAAGCTTTAAGCTACCAGCTTTACAGGCCCAACACATCCAGTTGATGAAGGATCTTTTAAAGAGTTCATCAATTAGTGTTGGCGGATATCTTCAAGCTACAAATCACCTTTTTGAAGTTTCAAGTTGACATATTTCGAATGCAGTGGAATCATGGGAGCAAAAAGAGTGAGTTAAAGTATATCCGGCCCTCAGACTGCAGTCGGGTTTTCATCAGAATCAGCATCACAAGCCATTTATTCATTGCCAAATATGTTACACATTGAGGAATTTGTCTTAACGATCGGTGTGATAAAGGAATAAAATATGAAAACATACAAGCACAATGTAAACAATATATAAGACAATTGTGCTCATTGCATTGAAATGCCTTTTTAAAACATATAATATAATAAAATTGTCGTCAAGCATAACTCTAATAAAACATCTGTCATTCATTTTATAGCAGGTTCCAATCTTTCATTTTGAAGGCCAGCAAATATCAAAATAGTTTTTTTTACGCTAAATGTTTAATCTCTTCTTGTGACCTGATGAGCTAAATCAGTTTTTTTCTTTCCTTCTTCACCTTTATCTGAAATTCTTCTTAACTTCCTCCATGTTTCTTTCTACACTACTACACTACATTACACCTAATTAAATATGCACATGGGATCAGCTACTTTTAGGTGTTTTGTTAATCAATGTGCCATATCAACCTCATGGTTACAATAAGTTTAATTATGACACTGCATTAAATACCACCACTCTGGTAAACATCAGATGGATCCAATTTTACAGAAGCCTTCCACATCTTCAACCTATTGTGCTTATTAGCAATAAACATCAAACAAATAAACTCGTAGCGTAGGGAGGGCCAAAAGAAAACCACAACACAAACAAACATAATTACCGGCTGCACAACGGGCAATGAACGTGAAAGAGGTCCGTTGGCGTGTGGAGACTTCACCAAAAACTCTGACACAGCATCACTTCTTCAAATTCCTGGCAACGTTGTGCATTTGGCAAATATTGACAATTCGGCTTCTGATTTGATTGACTGCTGTTGTATTTAAGAAACGTAACGTATTCAAGCTGCTGGAACTATCAGGTTAAACTGACTTCGGCCTCAGCTCATAACGGCCGACTTCCTAGTGCTACTTTGCAGGCCTGATCAATATTAATATTATTTGGGCTCGTTGGCAGTCAGTCCTTTTTCATTTTATTTTATTTTGTATTCATACACAACACACACACGCTGACAGTCTGCTACCAGCATGAGGATCTGGTGTTAAATAACGACTAGGCGAGTCAACCTGAAGTTTGATAACACAACGCAGTGTTTGAAGCCTCGTCGTACCCACAGCACACGTTAGCGCTCGTGCTGCTACCTGCTGGTCTTATGTTTGCGCTGCTTGTTTTTAAGGTAGGTCTTCAGGGCTAGAAGGTCAATGTAGAGGATCTGGTTGAGGATGGCGGAGGCACAGAGCAGTCCCCCGTGCAGCGCCCCAGCCATGCCGTTACAGAACACGTCCTGGCCTGCACACAAACACACACACACACACAACCGTCAAGTGGGCACGTCACATCTGCAGGGTGGGGAGCAGGCGAGATCGCTGTCAGTCAGGTCACCTGTAAGGTAGAGACCCTCAATCGGTGTCTGAGGGCGTGTCCTGGCGACGGTGTCTGGGGTGAAGCGCTCCACGTTGTGCTCAGCCCCGTACATCTCCCCCCTGGGAGCGCCCAGATAGTGGACATTAGTGAGGGGAGTGGCAGCATCCACCATCACCACCTGAGCACAAACACACACTTTCAGAAAGTACAGCACTATTGGTGTGTATGGGGACGAGAACAGAAAAAACAACATAGATATCTGTGATAAATATGAACCCAACCAAGCACATAAAATGGGGACACCTGAGTGGACGGATGTGGGACAGTCCAAGTCCCCCAGAACAAAGCAATTGATTGAGCCTTGGGATTGGAGGACAGTACCTTGTCCTGCAGTTGGGGGAAGATCGTTAGAGCCCAGTCCAGCATCTCCTGGGCCATACTGTTCTTCATGTCCACGTAGTTCTGTCCCCTTCTGCCCAGCTTTGTCCCCTCCCACTCCTCAAACCACTCGTAGCGAGCCATCGTAAGCAACGTCATGCAGGATTTACCTGCCGACAGAGCGCAAAGAGTAATTATGATGACATCATGATGGAAACATCCGATTCCACTTGTGAAAACTTGTGGCAGTGTTTGGATCTCGTATAACGGTTCAGTTTACCTTTCTTTTATACTTTATTAGATATTAAGAAACATGCCTCAACAAACTAAGTAACAATAAACTGAAATTGTTTCTGTCAATGATGAGCGCTGTGGGGCAGTCACAACACACATGCAGATGTTCGTGTATAAGAAAACATCTGTGTCAAAGTATAGGACATTATCTTGTTCCATACATACAGAAGCATGTTCTCTATTTGACCAGGAAAGACGAAGACATTTGTATAACAAATAGCAAAGAGGAATCCCCTTTTCGTTATTCATACATTGCTAGAGTTATATAATCTAATGTGATGAAAGAAAAGAAAAAGTAAGAGACTTTTTTTTGGCCAACAATTTAGTATATGACCATAGACCTCTTAAATCAAATGTTGAAGGCATTTCATTTTAAAGGAGCAGTTAGATTGAAATAATTGAAGGTTTCTAATCCTCCTCCAGTATTTCTGCGTTAAGTGGCGTCTCTTCCCACAAACAAGCCTGCGTGTGGAAGAGAAGATCGGATTTGATGGCAAGCCAACACTTCTGTGTCAATATGTGCACCAGTTACCTGGGTGTCTGACATTGGATGTAGGATCTTTAGCTGATGGGAAGGTGATGAACATCATGGGAATGTTTCCCAGTACCTGCTCTCTGCTCAGAGAAGAGTAACGCTCCATACTACAGCCGCACACACACACACACACACACACACACACACACACACACACACACACACACACACACACACACACACACACACACACACACACACACACACACACACACACACACACAATTTGGATTTGAATTTGTGCCTTTGAGCGTTTAAACTGGTGACACTGAATTAATGAGGTTATACTCTACTGTAGAGGATGTTCATACCTGCATATTGATCTTTCCCCCTATTTAGTCGTTGTTTTAATGATATTTATATTAAAGGAGGAGTTAGGGCATAAGCCATACATTATATTACAGCCGCGCAAACATTGTTTTGGGGTTTTGTAGCCTGTACGTGCTTCCTTTAGGCAGGTTAATCAGAAAACACTGCAGAAACATTCATTGTTTTGCAGACGATAATTATATTTATTGATCCAGCCAGCTCGTTATACTTATACTTACTCATACGAATGGACATCGAAACCACGAGAAGCGGTTGAGAGATAAATGACTAGGATTTCATCATTATTCCATCCTGCATACGTACAGACTTGAAGCCCTCGGAGGCCAATCGGTCATTTGTTCCATACTAAATAAATTGAGTTGAATCTTGAGGAAGCAAACAACATTCAACTGAATCAGAAGTCTGGAAAGACTTTTAGGAGACAGTTAAGACAATGTTCTGATGCTACAATGAGGAGTGTGTCCAACTCATAAAGACACTAGAAATAGAACATTAAATCAGTTTGTTTGGAGAAACTCCCACAAGCTGCACAATGTACAATGAACGTGTCCTTCTCGTTGGGCAGAAGTTCACAAGGTGGTTCTGAGTGAAGCAAACAAAGTCTGCCCCTAGAACGGAATTTCATTTCACTAATCCACCCCTTCTGTGTCGGGACCAGGGGTTCCACCCTCGATGGGTTACAGGTCATTCTGTAGAGGTCGGCTAGACGCTCTTCAATTGTGTGCGTCAAAGGATCCACAGGTACATGTCATCCATCTAAACAGCCACTAACATATTTACATTGGAAGTTAATGCAAAATGATGATGATGATTAGAAGCACACACAGATTCACAGAGACTAAACACACTACCTCACATTTGTTTGTGGACACTGAAGCCTAGTTTATGCTTCTGCGTTTTCACAGCGACGCAAGGACACGCAGACGCAAGAGCCCATTCGTGTCCCTTGCGTGTCTTTTCACACCTCCTTGCGTGCGTCGACCCATTTTTCAAAAGCGACGCAACGCTGTGATTGGTCTCTAACTCCGTCCTTTAGAGTCTCACGTCTCCGTTTTCACAGCACAATACGGCCGTTATTAAAAGGAAGAACGTTTATGAGAGAACGGATCAGATTGAAGAGCTTTTAAATATGAGCGCTTGTACAAGCCGTCATTGGCGGACTATGAGGACGCCGGACGGCCTCTGATTCATGGAGGGAGATCTCCACCAACGAGGGGAACAAAGTCGTGGAGGAAAATACGAGACAAATGTGTCCTTGATGCAAAGCAGCAGTGTGGATGCACGGGGCAATAAAGTCTATGATCAATGAATAAAGCCACCAGCGACTTCCACACACACAGACGTGACTCTCCAGGTCGTCTTCAACAAAACACGTGACTCCACCTGTTGTTCTGGAGGTGAATCGCTCTGCAACACACGCAGGACTTTACAACCAGGAAGTGAAACCAGCGCGTCGACGTGTAAAGACGCAGAAACACGCGGCGGCCTTTAGACTGTTTAACATTAGAGAGACCTGCTCTTAAAATGGATCACATGACTTTGCGTTACGTGAATAAAGTACTTGTGAAAAACCCCTCAGGCCCCGCAGCATTTAACCTTTCCAGCTGAACGTTTGGGTTTTATGGGCACTTTAACGCTTCCTCCCCTTCCAACAGTCAGCTGCTTCAGTGAAGCTCAAAGAGCTCTGTGTCCTTTCTGCTCAGCAACAAACGCACACAGACACACAGACACACTCCCCTCAACGGGGTGAATCATGGACGAAGACCTGTCAGCTGAACGGAAGAGCTAATGGATGTTGTAAGGGAGCGCTGTGTAAAGCGGGCTAACGTTAGCGCCCCGCTGGCAGGCAGACAGTATGTGCATGTTGCCCGGTGGCTGCGGCGTAGCTCATCACGCGGGGATGCTGGTGCCTACCTGAGGGTTGACGTCCAGCACGCAGACGCGTCCGGCCTCAACCACCTCGTGTATGGAGTCCATCTTTATTCCGTACAGGTTGCCGTCGTACTCTCCATGTTCAAGATAGCGCCCGTTCTTGATGTCGGCCTCCATCTTGCTGCGGCTGGTGAAGGCATACATGCGACTCTCGCCGTCTTCCTTCTTGGGTTTTCTGGAGGTATCTGGACACAATGTGACGCTCAGCTATGCACACACACGCCGGCGCCGTTTCCCTGAAGAAGCTGTGGTTACTCTACAGCGGGGGGCTTCAACTAAAATGTAGAGAAAGTTTCTACAAGCAGAGGTCATAATGTGACTGCTTAGTGTGATTCAAGTTGTATCAGCATTTGCATTTAATCAATACACCACTAACAAATCAAATACTAAAACTCTTGACAATATTTAATGTGACGTAACAAAGAACTGAACATCTGTGTGTGACTGCAAATACACATAATGTTCTCTCAACTAAGTAAAGTAGGGCTGCATTTGAAAAAATAAAACAGGATTTTAACAGTTTAATAGAAATAGAAATATATAATCTCCACTCTCCCACTGTGGTGGTTTAGTATTTAGTCCATTGAGGATTGTTCCTCATGTTTCTCACCCGTCTCTCTCTCTCTCACCTTCTCTGTTTGGACAGCACAGGCCACGCCCCCTGAGCTGAGAAGGAGCAGGCAGACGCCTCCTGAGAACCAATATTCATGGTCATATGAGACCGGGCCAGAGGACTTCTCCATTCCGCAAAGTAATATTACACTACGCATACTTTATTTCGGATTTTGTAATTATCATTTGTAATTATATTACTTCTGTTATTAAATTCTCTAGGATTTTGAAACTCGAGCCAGTTGACTTTGACCTCTGGTCTCAGAAGGGACGAGGGGAAGTGCAGAAGTCCACATGACCTCTGTTCTAAATCATTCCTCGGCTTCCTGCTGCTAATAGAGCTTTACACACGATGTCATACATGGAATGGTGGTGCCAAAGAGCAGTGGATCCCTCAGAAGAAGCTTGTTCTTCAGCCTCCGCCGCCCGACACCCTGGGCACCAATCAGAATCAGAGTTTTCCTCTTGAAAGGCGGGACCTTGGCCACCTCTTCGTAGAGCAGGATCTCATGTCTGTCAAACTCTGGGAAGAGGAAAGAACGGAGGGTTGAAAGGAACCAGGACAGAGGAGAGAAGGACGGAGGGTTGAGAGGAGGAGAAGTGTGGATGAGGGGAAGAAAGGAACCAGGACAGAGGAGAGAAGGACGGAGGGTTGAGAGGAGAAGTGTGGACGAGGGGAAGAAAGGAACCAGGACAGAGGAGAGAAGGACGGAGGGTTGAGAGGAGGAGAAGTGTGGATGAGGGGAAGAAAGGAACCAGGACAGAGGAGAGAAGGACGGAGGGTTGAGAGGAGAAGTGTGGACGAGGGGAAGAAAGGAACCAGGACAGAGGAGAGGAGGATTCATTATTTCACAGTGGACCGTGGACAGTGATGACTGTATCCGAGGACAGCGCTTTATTACCTGCATTTTTGGTGGTTACGTACATCATTTTCTTCTTCTTCTTGCCTCCAACACCAGTGCACAGATTCCCTGTCACATCAACGGGGCCTACAGTTAGTCCCTGTCACCCATGACTCCCAGACCTCCCTCAGCTGGTTACATTGAAAACCCCTTTAGACCGATTTCACAGGCTCTCATCAGTAAAACAAACACAATGTTTGCCTTTCATATAAATAGACTATTATTGAAGCAACTCGGCACGAGAAGAGCTGTGGGACGTCAACTCGCTTGTCTCACCGGCTTTCACCACCAGGCGGCAGTGAGAAGCAGCAGAACGTCCATATGAGAAGGACGGGACATTTGTCCTAAATCCCAGTAGATGTGACGGCGGTGTTGATAGTATAAATGTCTGATGTGCAGACTAGAACCAGTGCAGTCCATCTGAGGAGCACCACTGTTCCTCGCCCTCCCGGTTACCTGCTGGTGCCAGTTCTACATCTCTCTTGACAAAGGCTTTCCTCTTCTCCTCCAGCATCTGACTGGGTATCAGGCCCGCGCTGCCACCCTCCACGTGACGGGCCTGTGTAACACGCACACACACATTCACACTCATAACAGAAGCTGTGGTTTTATTACATCTCAACCCAAAGACAATACGAGCATCACATGAAACCGCTACGAGCCTGAAGTCAACTAAACACGTAAAAGCCCAGATCTCCACTAGTCCTTGTACTCCACCTGCCACCAGTTGACGTCATCCTGGTTGACTATCTGCAGGATGTCTCCGGCCTCAAACCTTAACCCCGCCTCCTTACAGGGGATGAGGTTGTCGTTGGCCGGGTCGTAGTCATAGTGACACTTAAAGAACAGCTGGAAACAGACACACATAGCGGTAGAATATAGTAGTTAGTTCACTGCCGTTGGGCTTCACGTTTGTAAATGCTCGTGAACGTCTGTTACTATGGCAACGGGGGCAGCGATCCGTCACCTGACTCGGCTGTATGGCTTCATGGTAGCTGGGCAGGATCTTCAGAACTACGCTTCCGCTGGCTGCCTGCAGCTCCTCTTGCAGAACGCTGGCGTCCTGGCCCACCTCCCGACCGTTCACCTGCCAACACCACGCATCATCCATCACATGGGCAAGATCAGCACGGCGCTCCAAAGTCAGCCACAAATAACAGAATAGGAGAGCCAGCACACGGGAACGCAGATGATCAGCCATTTATCAATGACTTTTGACAGAGCCAAACATGTTTCAGTGTTTTTGTGCTAAACCGGCTGCTGACAGTGGCTTCTACATATACAAGTACGATGGCCGTCCTCATTTAAAAAGGAGATCCAAACTCCAACAAAGAGAAGACCAAGGACTATCA